CCTTTCATATGTATGTAAGTTTATTTATTCACGTATACACAAATACAGTTACATAGATTATCATACATAACAGCATATGTCTACATAACCTAGGATAACCCAAAAAAGTCAGAGTGACTTATTTCCATTGCCTTCACTCAGAGTGTCATTTCTTCTAAAAATGGTGTTACATGAGAATGAGAGTGTTCTTTATTTATTCTACCATATCAATGTAGAGACAACTTGTACACAATGTAACTTGTACACAAACCAAACGTGTACACTTTGTTTGTTTACAAAACTTACGTTCGCCTGGTTTGTTTACATAACTCTGCGCCTGTCCTCTCTCATGTACTCATTCTCTCCCTCTCTCATTTATTCGTTTTATCTCATTTACTCACCCTTGACCCTACATTAAGACTACAAATATTTTAAGGTAAGTAATGAGTGAACTGTATATGCATTTTATCACTCTGGGATGCTTAAATATCATAGAATAGTATGTGTAGGTGGGGTGGTCTGGCTGACTACCATACATACCACACTTGATTTCTTACAATAAATACTACTTATCTCACCGTAGATTAAGACTACAAATATTTTAAGGTAAGTAATGAATATTATGCATAGGTGGATTGGCCTGGTATGGTAGCCCGGCTGACTACCATACATACCACACTTGATTTCTTACAATACTACTTGTCTCACCCTAGATTAAGACTATAAATATTTTAAGGTAAGTAATGAGTGCACTATGTGTGTATTGTACTTTTTTATTATTTTTTGATGCCTGGTTCTATTGCTAACTTAATATATGTTAGGGTAAACTTGTTATCTAGTATTTGTATGCATTTATAAGTGGAAAAAAAGGGTGTTTCACTTTATGGCAATTTCCGCTTTACGGCGGTAGCCTGGAACCTAACCAGCCATATAAGTGGGGCCCTACTGTATTAAAATTAACCCTTTCAGGGTCCGTGCAGTAGATCTACGGCTTTATGTTCAGGGTCCAAACCGTAGACCTACGCCATGAGCTCAGCTCACTCTGATAAGCTATGAGCAGTAAATTTGGGCCTAGATATGAGAGAATACATCTATGTGGTATGTGTGCACCACATAAAACAAATCCTGCAGCACACAGTGCATGAGAGAAAAAAACTGAGACTGTAATTTTCAATTAAAACAGCGACTTTGCAGTATTTTTTTGTACGTTGTTTATAGGTGTACTTGCAATTTCTTGGTCTCATTAGATAGAATGGAAGGTATGTTACAGAAATAGAGATGATTTTGATTGGTTTTAGTACTGGAAATGGCTTGAAACTGAGCTCAAAGTAGCAAAAATGTTAAATTTTTGCCGATGTTCAAGAGTAAACAAATGACCTCACAAATCTAATACATGACAGCTGGTGGGTCTAATATACATTCTCAAATATGGGGATATTATTTATACAATTATTACAGTATTGCATAACAAAAAATCTTCTCTTCTATTTTGTGGTTTGAATAAAAATTCATTATGTGATTAAAAAATCAAAATGGAATTCATTTGTAAAGTCTGAAAACGTAACTAATGAACAAAGTAAATGTTAGTTTAGTGCCAGGAATTCCTGCATTATTTATTCTGGGCCCTATTTTGAAATTGGAATATTTTGAACTTTGAATTAAACTGGCCAAATTACCAATTTCCAGTCACTTTATTTTGTTGTTGAAACAGTTGACTTGGCAATTTCTTGTGCTCAGTCGATAGAATAGAAGCAATACTGGTGAAATAGCTAAGAATTTGGTTGACTGGAATACTGTAATTGGCCTAAAATAGGAGTCAAAGTCGTCAAAATCGCCGATGTGTAAATATCGCCGATACATCAAAATTCGCGAGAGCATAATTTCGTCAATTTTCCATCAAATTTCGTACTTTTTGTTTTATTACCTTCAGAAAAAGATTCTCTACCATTTCATAAGAAAAAATAAAATTATTTTTTTGAAAATTCCTGGACCCTGGTGCACACTTTGAAATTTGGCCTCTGGACCCTGAAAGGATTAATATTGCATGTGGTAAAAAAAATTTTTTTTTTCATGTTTTGGGGTGTCAGGAACGGATTAATTTGATTTCCATTATTTCTTATGGGGTAAATTAATTCAGCTAACGATAATTTTGGCTTATGATGAGCTCTCAGGAACAGATTAATATCATAAGGCGGGGGATCCACTGTATTAGATGCTTCAGCCTGCCTCCTGCAGGGATGCTGCGCGTCGGTGAGTCAGTCCCCCTTTGTTTGTCAGTGAGCGAGCATATGCTCCCTGCATTCATCCCAACATTTTCTTAACCCTTTGACTGTTTTGGTCATATATATATACGTCTTACGAGCCAGTGTTTTGGGCGTATATATACTCAATAATTCTAGCGGCTTCAAATCAAGCAGAAGAAAGCTGGTAGGCCCACATGTGAGAGAATGGGTCTGTGTGGTCAGTGTGCACCACATAAAAAAAAAATCCTGCAGCACGCAGTGCATAATGAGAAAAAAAAAACTGATCGTTTTTTTGGATTAAAACGCCGAATTTGAGGTGTATTTTCGTATAGTATTTATCATTATATTCTCGTTTTCATGGTCTCACTTGATAAAATGGAAAACATATTGCAGAAATTGAGATGATTTTGATTAATTTCACGATGAAAACGACCTTGAAATTGAGCTCGAAGTAGCGGAAATGTTCGATTTTTACCAATGTTCAGGAGTAAGCAAATCACACCACATGTCCAATACATGTCAACTGGGGAGTCTAATATTCTTTCACTAGTGCACTGATATTATTTATACCATTTTTACAATAATGCAGTAGTCTGCATAACAGTAAATTTTGCATTTTTTGCATGAATAAAAAATCAAAATATAAAGCAATAGTAATATAAGAGGGGCCTAGAGACATGACTAATGAACAGAGGACGTTATTTTAGTACCAAGAATGTCTACATTGTTTATTCTGGACCCTATTTTGAAATTGGCATCTTTTTTAATTTGTGTGAAATTGGCCAAATTGCCAATTTCTGACCACTTTATTGGGTAATTCAAATCAGTAAATGGGCGTTTCTTGTACTCAATTGATAGAAAAAATGGAGTTCTAAAGAAATCGCTATGCGTTTGGTCAACTGGAACAACGGAATTGGCCAAGAAGAGGGCTCAAATTCGGCGAAATCGCCGATGCATATATGTCGTTGAGACCACTAACTTCGCAGGAGCGTAATTCCATGAGTTTTCGACCAAATTTCGTACTTTTGGTGTCATTACCATTGGGAAAAGATTCTCTATTATTTCATAAGAAAAAATCTTTTTTTTTTTTTTCCAAAAATTTTGTGACAGAATGACAGTTTCAGAAAGGGGCTTGAGACAGTCAAAGGGTTAAAACCCATTGTTCTTCGTGTTTTTTTTTAATTGCGACTGTGAAATAAGTCACCATGGGCCCCAAGAAAGTTCGTAGTAAAGCTCCTTTGGTAAAGTAAGTAAGAAACACGATGGAATTTAAGAAGTAATAGAAAAATATGAGAGTGGTGTGCAGGTGCTGGAACTTCCCAGGATGCATGGCAAAAGGAAATCAATAATCACTCTATCCTGGCAAAGAAAGAACAAATCAAGAAAGCTGATGTGGCACAAGGGGTAAACATGTCAATGAAAAAGAGATCACCAACAAATGAAAATGTGGAGACATTGTTGTTGGTGTGGATCAGGGAAAAACAGTGGGAGTTGGGATTGGATGTGAGTGGTGAGGATGTGGAAGAGTGTTGTGTATGTAAAACTATAATTAATCTTTAAAAAATATATTTTTTGTGAATATTTTTGGGTGTCTGGAACGGATTAATTGTATTTACATAAATTTTGGGAAATACTGCTTTGAATTTAGGCCATTCTGAATTTAAGCCAACCTTCTGGAATGGATTAGGGCCGAAAAATGAGGTTCCACATGAGCATTTCTCAGTTTTCAAAATTTTTTTAATGTTTTACAAGTATTATGAGAGTGTTAGATGTTTTAGTTTCATGTTGATTATAACCACGAACTATTCAGACATCTATCTTCCTAACTGATTTCTAAGTACATTTTTATCAGATTACTAAATATGTAAATAGATATAGCACTTTAATTTTTTTTTTTTTAATTTGCAAGCTTCATGGGGGGAAGGGGGTGTTTGTAATTAGTAATGAGTAATTATATTGGCATCTCAGAGAAATTAAATTATTTAATATTATAACTAAAACTGAGCATCAATACTGGCAAAAAGCTTGAAACCGTACCATCCCTAATAAGATCAGTGATGAAAATGTCACCAAAGAACAACCACCACAGAGACTGTTCCATTATATAGAGAGGAATAAGTGTAAAATCTTCTCATTAATTTGCTTCCCATGAAAGCTGTCCAAAGAAACAATGAACTGAGAGCTTGGATGATAGTTTGGGGTCTGATAGGAACTAGCTCCCCAGGTACTAAGGGATTCCTAATAGCATCAGTTTATAATATACAGTATCTGTAATAGATGTACTGTATACATACAGGTGTGGTAGCCTGTTCACTCTTAAGTCACAATATATAGTGCCTTCTCTCTATGTTACAACTCAAGAAGCAACCAAATATTCTAGACATCAAACCAAATGCTTTAGGCTTGGAACATCTTATTTTTAATTTGATATAACAAACAGTAAAGGTAAAGCATGTGCTTATTTGGATGTCAAAGTAAATACAGTGCAATTTAGCATAAGTTTCAAAACGCAAAAATAGACCCACCAAATTTGTTTTGAAATATTTTTATGAAGAAATCTACTTGCATCTATTTTCTCAGTTTCTTAAAAGGTTTCAGTCAATTCAAGAACCTAACACCATTAATTAACAAGTGTCTATTATACATGAGGAGAGGATGTGTTTATACATTACCACTGAAAATCCTCAATGCCTGACAAATTTTGTAAAATAATTGTTATTAGCAGAACATTTAAATCTATATCATCACTGAAAATGAAAAAGAATTAAAAAAAAATACCTGAAAGAAAGCACTGATGAAGAAGTTCCACATCAGCTGTTCCAAGAGGCATATCTCCCCTCCAGGTAAAGACATACATGTCACTGTGAGTTGACCCAGCATCCACTACTATACCAAACTGAAAATAATGTAATACATACTACTGTATACAGTATGTCTGAATGATATACAGAAGCTTATCAAAAGGAGCAAAATGGTACATGTAACAGTGTAATGGTGTCAACATTTGTACAGGTGAGACATGATCTTCAACTGTTGTAGGAAGAAGGCTGCAGGCAGTAGCGATGCTCTGTTTGAAATCGGTGTACGTGTATAGTATGAATATCTTGAAGTGAATATAGTGTGAAGGAATTAGAAGACTGTGTGATGGTATGAAAAGAATAATTCAGAGAACTGAGGAATGTTTGTTGAAATGATTTGGCCATTTAACAAAAATCAAGCAAAATAGGTTAACCAAGATTAACCCTTAAACTGTCCAAACGTAGATCTACGTCTTTTCAACATTTGAAAGTATGTAAAAAAACGTAGATTTTTTTTTTACATTTGAAAACGTGTAAAAAAACTTTGAATTATGTTTTTTTTTTGTTATATTCGAAAATATGTAAAAAAAACGTAGATCTACTTTTGGAGCACTACGCATGTGAACGTCAATTTGTTTGGACAGTTTAAGGGTTAAGTATAAATGGTAGCTGTGTGTCCTTGTAGCCTTTTTTACTCAGTTTGTAGAACTGGTCTTGGGTCGCACTAGTCTTTTGCACCAGGTGGATCTGTCAATGGAAACTGCCTCACAGATTCTTGATCAACTAGCCACCTGACAGCTTAGCTGCAGTAGCTGTAGTATGGTCTTAGTTACCATATTTTGTGTGTCCTGTCAACCCCTGGTCCCAACACTGTCAGTCTTCCTCAAGACAAATCTTTACGTCCAACAACAACCTTGGCCTACCACAACTTATGAAAGATACGTCTTCTTTAATGTACACATCCTGCTGTGTCCCTACAGAGCTATGCACGAGCTCAGATTACTGCAGACAGCAGACATCTTTCTAAATGTGTATCCTTGTTAGCAGTGGTCACACTGATATATTTTATCTGCCAAATGTGTGTGAAACGGAAACCTGCAATTGTTTTACACAATGGTAGGATTGCTGGTGTCTTCTTTGTTTTGTAAACACAAGAAAACAGGTACATCTTGTAATTTCTACTAACACTTATGTTAAAAAAACATGTATGCATGAATATATATACACACCCATCTGAATTTTCTTCTATTTTTCTTAATAGTTCTTGTTCTTATATTTATTTATTTATTTATTTATTTAAAAATTTGAGCACACATACAGAGGTACAACAAATACAGGTAAGAGCAGTATGCCAAAGCCACTTATACTATGCATAGCATTACGGGCTGGCTTAAAATTAACTTAAGATTAACTAAGCAATGATGAAATCAGTGATAAAACATTAATGTAAACAGGTTACTATAAAGCACAAGTGAGTATTACAAAGACAGGTCATATGGTTGTATGCATTGTTGTACATTCAGTAGAATGGAGTATTCTGTTAGGTAGTGTATTTAAAAAATAATAAAGTTAGATTGGGTTTTAGGTTTAACATTTATGTGATATAATTGTGAGAAACATTTAAGATATACAATTTATAAGGTTCAGTTATTCAGTATTTTATTTGGTTTTGGGTGAGTAAGTGATCTTTGAGAAGAGACTTGAATTTATAAACAGGTAGTGTTTCTTTTATATTTACATATATTTTCTTTCATCTCCATGAGGAAGTTGAAAAGACTCTTAACTTTGTAAGCCATGCGTGTCATAAGAGGCGACCAAACTGCTGGGAGAAATGGGCTAGTAACCCCTTCTCATGTATAAATTACTAAAGATAGGAAGAAAAACTTTATAAAGCTTGGATGTTTGAATGTGCATGGATGTAGTGCAGATGATAAGAAAGAGATGATTGCCATTGTTATAAATGAAAAGAAGTTGGATGTCCTGGTTCTAAGCAAAACAAAGCTGAAGGGGGTAGGGAGTTTCAGTAGGGAGAAATAAGTGGGATTAGATCAGGAGTATCTAAGAGAGTTAAAGCTAAGGCAGAGGTATCAATAATGTTGAAGGCTCCATTATGAAAGGAGAAGAGGGAATATAAATGTATAAATTCAAGGGTAATGTGGATTAAAATAATGGTCGGATGCAAAACAAATTGGATTATAATAAGTGTGGATGCACCTGGAGAAGAGAGGAGTGTAGAGGGGAGAGAGATAATTAAATGTTAAGTGAACATTTAGGGAATTTTGAACCAAGTGAGAGAGTAAGTGTGATAGGGGACATCAATGCTAAAATGGGAGAAACAGATGCACAGGTAGGTAACTTTGGGGGTGCCACGAGTAAATGATAATGGGGACTTCGATGGAACTTTGTATAGAAAGAGGTTTGGTAATAGGTAATACATTTTTTTTTTTTAACAAGTCGGCCGTCTCCCACCGAGGCAGGGTGACCCAAAAAAGAAAGAAAATCCCCAAAAAGAAAATACTTTCATCATCATTCAACACTTTCACCTCACTCACACATAATCACTGTTTTTGCAGAGGTGCTCAGAACACAACAGTTTAGAAGCATATACGTATAAACATACACAACATATCCCTCCAAACTGCTAATATCCCAAAACCCCTCCTTTAGAGTGCAGGCATTGTATTTCCCATTTCCAGGACTCAAGTCCGGCTATATAAAAATAACTGGTTTCCCTGAATCCCTTCACTAAATATTACCCTGCTCACACTCCAACAGATCGTCAAGTCCCAAATACCATTCGTCTCCATTCACTCCTATCAAACACGCTCATGCACGCCTGCTGGAAGTCCAAGCCCCTCACCCACAAAACCTCCCTTACCCTTTCCTTCCAACCTTTTCGAGGACGACCCCTACCCTGCCTTCCTTCTCCTACAGATTTAAATGCTCTCCATGTCATTCTACTTTGATCCATTCTCTCTAAATGACCAAACCACCTCAACAACCCCTCTTCAGCCCTCTCACTAATACTTTTATTAACTCCACACCTTCTCCTAATTTCCACACTCCTAATTTTCTGCATAATATTTACACCACACACTGCCCTTAGACAAGACATCTCCACTGCCTCCAACTGCCTCCTCGCTGCTGCATTCACAACCCAAGCTTCACACCCATATAAGAGTGTTGGTACTACTATATACTTTCATACATTTCCTTCTTTGCCTCCATAGATAACGTTTTTTGACTCCACATATACCTCAACACACCACTCACCTTTTTTCCTTCATCAATTCTATGATTAACCTCATCCTTCATAAATCCATCCGCCGACACGTCAACTCCCAAGTATCTGAAAACATTCACTTCTTCCATACTCCTCCTCCCCAATTTGATATCCAATTTTTCTTTTCCTCCCCAATTTGATATCCAATTTTTCTTTATCTAAATCATTTGATACCCTCATCACCTTACTCTTTTCTATGTTCACTTTCAACTTTCTACCTTTATACACACTCCCAAACTCATCCACTAACCTTTGCAATTTTTCTTTAGAATCTCCCATAAGCACAGTATCATCAGCAAGGAAGAGGAGGAAGAGAGATGGAGGAAGTTGAATTCTTCAAAGATTAAGGACATTTGTGCAAAGTGGGATGAACATCAACCTGACACAGCTGTTGCAAACCATGCTGGTAACATCTACAATAACAATGTTCCGAAATGTTTTGCCTACACAGTAGGCTTCTTCAGTTGAGTACAGAAAGTAGGCAGGGGTGATGGACTGATTACATCGTCTTCACATCTTTACTGCTCCTGCCTACTTTCTGTACGCGACTGAAGAAGCTTACTGTGTAGGCGAAACGTTTCGGAATAAAGTTGCCTAAATGTTGCCTATGTGTCTTACCTACCAACCTGTCGGTATTGTATACCATTTTGATATTCATCTACAATGACAATGTTGTGTCCCATTGTAGGGAAATCTTAAAGAGATACCAGAAACAGAGCTCTCTGGACAGATTTTTGGTGCGACAGGGGTCCAGTGACTCTCAAGTAGGTCGTAGCGCAATTAACCCTTTGACTGTTTTGGTCGTATATATCAGTCTTATGAGACACCATTTTCGACGTACAGTGGACCCCCGCATAACAATATTAATCCGTTCATGAGAGCTCATTGTTATGCGAAATTATCGTTATGCGGATAAATTTTCCCCATAAGAAATAATGGAAATCAAATTAATCCGTGCAAGACACCCCAAAGTATGAAAAAAAAAAATTACCACATGAAATATTAATTTTAATACACACAAACTGAAAAAGGCATGCACAATTACATGACACTTACCTTTATTGAAGATCTGGTGATGATTGATGGGATGGGAGGAGGAGAGAGTCTTAGTGTTTAGAAGGGGAATCCCCTTCCATTAACCCTTTGAGGGTCGACAGGCCCTCTCCGAAACTCGTTCTCAGGGTCGGCCAAATTTAAAAAAAAAAAAAAATTATTTTCTCTTATGAAAAGATAGAGAATCTTTTCCCGATCATAACGACACCAAAAGTTTGAAATTTGATAGAAAACTTACGGAATTATGCTCTCGCAAAGTTAGCGGTCTCGGCGATGTTTACGGATCGGCGATTTTGCCCACTTTGAGCCCCATTTTCGGCCAATTTCACTGTACTAGTCGACAAAAAACATGAATATTTCGCTAGAACTCCATTTTTTCTATCGAATGGGTGAAGAAACCACCCATTTATAAATTCAACTATCCAGTACAGTGGTCAGAATTTAGCAATTTTGCCAATTTCACACAAATTTCAAAAGATGCCAATTTCGGAATAGGGTCCAGAATAAACAAGAAAGACATTCCTGGCACTAAAATGACATTTCCTCTAGTCATTAGTCACGTCTCAAGGCCCCTCTTATATTCTTTTGCTTTCCACTTTGAATTTTTATTCTCACAAAAAATATAAGATTTACTGTTATGCAGACTACTGCATTAGTGTAAAAAATGGTATAAATAATATTGGTGCACTTGTGAAAGAATATTAGACTCACCAGTTGACGTGTATTGCACGCTTGGCACGATTTGTTTACTTTTGAAGTTTGGT